TTTTTTTTTTTTTTTTTTTTTTTTTTTATTTCGTATTTCTTCACTCGGTTTCCGCAATCATCTGAGAATTCTCGTTTTTCCTGTTTCCAATTCTTTCGTTCTCTTTTTTCTTTAGATTTTTTTCTTCTTGAGATTCGATTTCTTTGAACGAAAGATACAGAATTGTCACTGATGGTCTCGATCATTGTCAAGAGCAAGTATTTTTGCGTACTCACGAGCGCGTGCCTTGGCTAACCGGTCGACCGGTTGCTTTCATTTTGCAACGCCATGTGTTACGTAATCCGGCAAGTTGATTCTCAATATATAATACACACACGTGTCATTTATTAACGTACGTTAATTAAATTACTTGATTAAATAGTTTTTTTTATATTTTTAGCGTCTATCAAATATATTATAGATTAATATCTATATATTAACATCTAGATATTATTGTCGCGTTATATCAAATTATATTATATATACAGTTGACAATAATTGATATATAAATTATTTCATAATTAGTTAATAATTTAATTTTATTTTTAAATGCTCGAAATAAATAAATAGAAATCTTTTCCTTATTAAATATGAATTCTTTTTTCCTGTATTAAATGATATTTATTTAACGTAGCTGAATTAAATGCGAATCAAAGAGTACTCTTCAATAAAAGAGACATGTAATCAATAGATAATACTAGAATGACGCCCAGAGAATTTCCTGCCACATTTCACAAACAATTTAAATCGTCTGTATATCCTCCATCGATGGTGGACATGTATTCGTTTCTGAGAAAATATAGGTTTCCATCGTGGAACTGAAATTCTATCAGTGCAAAGAACTTAAACTACAGCGTAGTAGACTTAATAAGGATCGTTTTACCTACGTTGGTGATAAGATTCAAAATGGCGTAATTTCCATCGTGTCTTTTACCGTCTACCGATTAGGCTGAAACTACAAAAACTAATCTTACTAAAATTAAATTTAGTAAGATTTAAGATAAACGATGAAAAAAAAAAAGCTAAAAATATTTTAAAGAATCTAATTATACGTTATGAGAAAAATATTTATATAATAGAATGAAGGTTATATCTAATCACTGTTAGCCTTATGTAAATTCTAATAAATTATGACTAACATATAATCCGTATAATAACGTATAGTAATATATAGATATAACCATTTATTATTTCAAGAGTTAATTTAATTGATAATCGTTTCCATGAATTATAAAATAAACATATATCATTACTAAGAGCTTAACTATTCAATTTCTTATAGGACAGAAATCAGAATCACTCGATTTCCCGAATCGCGCACCTATAACTATAAATCTAAACATTCGTCAGAATTGACACTACAAAGAATTAAAAAAGAATGGCAATTCTCTGCGCTATAGTCGCAGAACGGTCGATTCCTCCTGACCCATACCTAGGAAAATAATTTGTAGCGGCATTTTCAAGTGTCGCTTTCTCTTTACGAATCTCGAAATAATGGGACAATGAACAATTATATTCTGAATTTTGGAAAATTCATGTTCTCTTATAAAATAATTATAACTATTGATTATTATTATTTAGAGACATTCCTCATTATCATTTATATCACTTTTTAAAAATATTTCTCCTACTTCCATTTTAAATCTATGAAAAGAACAATTGAATACATTGATCAATAACAGCAATCTAAGTAAGTAGACAGCTCACAATGCTAATGCCTCTTAACACATCTTTGTCATTTAATCGATCTTTCCAAATGGTCGAAAAAGAAGAGAAAAAGAAGCAACAGGTGTGCTTTGAAATACTAAAGTACAAAAGCGACAACGAATTATAATGAAAGTGTGTGCGAGTTACAGACCTTGTATTCTACCCCTGTATTCTACCGAAATAGATGTACATATAACTTGGAAGGTATCTAATGCGGTAAGAAGTTAAGAAGTTTTCAATCTACTGTCGGGGGCCACTGAAGGATTGGATTTATGGATAAACTAGACAACAAGATCACACGTTTATATAATGAATCTGCTGGAATAATTAAGAATATGCTGTTATTTTTTCCGATTATATAAGTTGGCTTTTGTAATGTTTAGACTGATGTTTAAATCCATTCTCTAAAGGCGCGATTTTACTAGTGATTTCAATTCATCGAACATTGTTCGCAAACAGTATTCGGTGGTCAATGCATTGCATGCTATTTGCTTTTCACAAAAGAGTCTACAGTTACCGACAAACAATTTACAAGTTTCATTTACGAACTATTCACGAAGATTATATAAATCCAGTGGGCATATTTTTTTTTAGAATCATCAAAGATTTTTAATAATCTTTTCTTTTTTTTAGAAATAAAATTTATAATGATAGATTTATTAATTTTTTTAAGAATTAAAAATTATATGAAGATGACGAATTTATTTAGGTATCTTCAAGGATAACTATTTTAGAAACTTGAAACATATTTTTCTTCGATTTTTTTTTTTTTAATTCCTGAATATTAAAAAAGAAACTTTCTTAATGATATAAACTTATAGAGAACAAAAAAAATATATAGAACTTTTCAACACTTTAAATATATACTTTATATATATATATTAAAATAAAAAATTCGCTCTGATAATTGTTTCCTAATGCAAATCAACTAACATGTTGAAACATACACTTATTAAGATAATAATAAACAATCAATTGTAATATCACGTAACAAAAACGATTATATCCACGTGAAAAACGAATCGCAACTTGAATCAACTACATTCCAATGAAATTACCTCACTATTTTTCTCTCAAGGCTTATAAATGTCTTTTTAAATCGTCACTTCCACGTTTTTTTCAGAGATTCTTTAAAATTCATTCCAAACACCTAGAGTTAAAAACAGATCACAATTTACAATCACACACACAACGAATCATTATTCAAAAAATTATAAATGATTCACAATAAAATATTAAAATTGGAAATAACAATTTTAACGCAAAAGTAATTTAAAACTAATCTCAGCTAACCTCTTCGTATTCCCCGTTGCTCATCTCTCCCTTTCTCTCCACTTTTTTAAGTTCAACAAACAAGTATCTAGCACCTCAGAATAAAATGCGTCACCTATTTCATGTGGTTATGTACACACAACAGAGAAGACGACAATACACTTCATTTCCCGACTCACATGACTACAACATTTGGATCTTATCGTTTCCAGACAGAAGTTACCTCAAGAACGATTCAGGCGTGACTGGCGTTGAGTCGACGCAAACCTCACGACGCAACTGGTGCAGGTTCATGCACAAAAGGGGAGGTGGACACGAGGTCCCCGACCCTCTTACAGGGAAAACTGTTACAGGAAGGCCCAGATATATTGCACATATATATATACCTTACCCATTATTCCATTTAATCACAAACAAACATTGGCATCGTACTAAACTAATTTTGGCATCGTAGTTTCTTTTATTCTTATAAATGATTTTTATATTTTCTTCTTTTCTGTAAATAATTTTAAGCTATTATAAATTTTATTTTTTTCAAATAATTTTTTTTTTTTTTAGATTAAAATTTAACAATTTAACAGATTATTTCATAAATAATAAAAAAATTTGAGTATCTTAATCTTCATTTTAACTTTTAATAGATGGATCGAAAGGATAAAAGACGTACAAATATATTTCCAGGAAGAATCCTCAAGAAAAATCAAAGTAAAATCAGATTCCTGACATGATCGATCTAATTCTGCAATTGAGTCCAATACGTCTGGGAATGCAAAATTTTGAAGTTAACCCAGATTGTCCGCTCAAGCCAAATTAGAGTCCTGGAATAATGCAGATCAAAAAATATAAATAGTCCAAAAAATAGTTATATAAGAAATTAATTGAAATTTTTCCAGATATATGAAAGTATATTTCAAAATTAATTAATGATTGATATAAAATTGATTAATACAAACTGTTATATTTCCAATCAATCCTTTTTGGATAAGTTTAATTCAAACATGAAAATTCAAAATATTTTTAAAATATATATATATATTTTTAAAATATATATTATATATTTTTTAATAACATTACAAAACTATATTATTTCTTTTGAATAATTGTAAAATCAAAAATTTAACATTTAATTTTTTATTTTATTAAATATAAAGTTAAATGTTAAATAATATCTTATTAATTATTATGAAATTTCAAATTATGAATTTTCACATATATTAAAATTATATTATAAATATACATATATATATATGTGGTGCATATGAAACAAATTACAAAACAAATTAATCATGTATGTAAAATATACTTATGTAAAGATATTACATATTTTTAATAATGCAAAATGAATTATTTTAATGATTCTTGAAAAAAAATGTGGAAATTATCTTGATGATAGAATCAAGAGAATAATGTAAATTCGTCACTGAATCAAACGAAATCATAGTGGAATAATGTTGTAGCTGGGATAATAATACTCATATCCAGGTCTCGCGTACGCGAAAGGAATTGGGTCAATGCGAAGGGAACAACGTTGAACCCAGTATGAATCTCACAACCGTGAGAGAAACGCATATTTTATTAAAAAAAATGTCGTTCAAAAAAACAAATTTCATACCAAGTCTCCAGGTTAACCATAAGCGTTTTTAATAATGATGAGATACCAATATACAATATATTAAATGCAAATATCTGTTTACTCTGTTATTCTATTATTAACCATTCTACTTTCGTCTAAATTTTGTTTCCTTTTTTTATATTAAATTTAACTTTGATTATTTATATACATTTCATTTCTTTGCGTATTACTGAAAAGAATATTAAATAGAATTTTTATTTCAACTTTTCTTTCAATTTCAAACTTAATCTTATTACATGTATAAAATTTAATGTATAACTAATAATTTAATATATGTCTAATATTTTAGTTTAAATTTTTAACGTCCAAAATCGAGTAACTAATTATAGGTTAGATACTAATTATTATAAACTATTAAATAGAAAATCTAGGCAATAGAATATGAAGTTGGAACAGAAATTGGAGATGAAAAGGCGCCTTTAGGCCATCTACCATAATATACCTATATAAATGTAATATACCTAGTATGCATGATTGTAACTTTTATTAAAAAATAATAAGAAAGTATTTATATTATTGTCGATAAATCATCATCATTTTAAATTGTTTTTAAAGCAATATATAGTAATTAAAAATATAAATTGTGTTATTTTTCTTCTTTACATTATCTTTTAAATTTGAGGTTATGAATTTATCGCGTACATATGATTCAACAATTTTATTTAATATTTTTTGAATAAATATAATATAAAAAATTTTAAATTGTTTTGTTTAATCATTTAAGAAAATAAAAGAAAAAATATAAAATTTGTGGAAACCAATGAGTGCCATGATTTTTGCGCAACACTATTCGCGCAAATTTATACAGAGCTCGGAATTAGCACGGCCTGAAAATTTCGAGTCATAGTATTTTCGGTTCGCGAATCGCTCTACTAAAATCTACAAGCTTTCGCAAACCTCTAAAGGTTATTCACTCTATGACTACATCGTTAAATCAGAAAATATTTGTTATAAATATTTATTAATTCTGACAAAATTCTGATGTTATATTAATTTTATATTAAAAATTAAAAACTTAATAAAAATTAATAAAAAAAACTAATTAATAACATTATATACTAAAGAAAAATTGCAAATATATATTAATTCACTATCTTATTTACATTTACTACTAACCTAACCTAATTTTAAAATAGCAATATCATTTAATATCATTAAGAAGAATTTTATCTGTTCGATTGTATCACGATAATTCTTCAAAATATTCGGATTAATTATATAATTGCTTAGTATGATTAAGAATCGTATATCAATCATCACGCTGATAAAATTTTGATAATCATTAATTAAATTTATATATATGTATATCAAAGCAAAATTGCTTATAATACATCAATAAAATATATCATTAAAATTATTATTATAAGGAAAAAAATGATTCATTTATTGATTTATAACTATATTTCACCTTGATAAAAAAAATCATAATTTAAAAATGACATAATTTTTTATTTATGCGGATATATTATACTAAATTATATTTCATAAAAGGAACTATTAAGCAATATTTTTTATAGGTAATATATTTTTATAGTAACTAAATTGCAATAAATTGATAATTTTAATCAATTATCTCGAATGTTTATTATTAATCATAGCGTAACTTTGAAATAATAACGTATATATAACGATTTTATCGATGTTTACCAACTCTTAGTAAATCTCGAAACTATAGATATACTAATAAATAAATCTTAAATTAGAAAATATTTTATATTTTATAACAAAAGTTCCTCAAAAAATGATTGCTTTAATAACAATGAAGGTCAGGGTTTAAATCGCTTGCGAAATAATGCGACTTTAGCCTCCTGTGACCGACTTTTTAGAGATTCAAGCTTAAAGTTCGTGCTTTATCTACAGGAAATAAGCCTCAATTTCTTTTTCCATCTCTTTTTTCAATAATAATCAAATAAATGAAAACAACGAGAGAACTAAAAGAATTAAAATTTTAAAAGAATTGGCAAAGTCAATATGAAGTAACATTTTTATTATACATATTTTAATAATAATAATATTCTTTAACATTTTAATAAATTATGTTTTGTTATATCTCAGTTTATGTTTCTTTAAAACAAATCAATATATCATGAATAGAATAAAGCTTCATTAGAGTTTTAATAGATAAATTAGGATAATTAAAATAATAATTAGATAATGTAATTTGAAAAGATAATAAAGAAATAAATTAAAAGAATTTTTAATGTTTTATGAAACAAACGAAAATATTACCTATATAATTATTAGGAACTGTTAGATAAGGAATTACTTAAAAAAGTCTGATATATGAAACTTGCGTACTTACTTCTTGTGAAATATTTATTTTTTCTGATTCTTCGTCAACTATGTAATTGTTTTCTTGTATTTCTACAGCTAATGCAGCTATCAGCAATTCAAACTGAAAATTGAATTCATTAAATCACTAAAACGATACTGGTTTCTTCTAGTTCTCAATATTTTAAATCACGTGAATCAAGAATGATAGTTAATATTCATTAGAATAAAAAAAGAAATAAAACAAAAAACAAACCGTTTTTTAACAAAATATAACTTGCTTATTGTAAAAATAATTGCATAATAACTAAATTGTGATATTTATATTATTTGTAAAATTATATATTATATATAATTATATCTAATTGTAATAAAAGAATTATAGTATTTGTAAAACAAGTGATTTGTTTCAATCTGGAAACATATTAAATAATCGATAAATAATAAAAGAAATTATAAACCTCTTTATATGATTCTATCTCTTCATATTATCTTCATTCTATTCCTTAAATTCAATTTATCGATCTAAAAAAATATATTAATAAATTGATATAATCGAAATATATCGATTATATTTGATATATCGATTAATCGAAATATATCGATTATATTTGACATGTCGATTAATCAAAATATATATTGAATAGATTAATATATTATAAAGCAAAAATAAATAATGCATAGTGAAAAATAAAATGTTTACAAATTTAAGAATCATTTTTTTTTTTGCAAAAATTTTACATTTGTGTTTGAAAATGAGATTTAAAATTACAAAAGGAAGGATTATTGCGTTCATCACGGTCAAGGTGATCATAAGTAGTCATGTAAGTACATATATCGTTCGATTTGGATCGAATGTCTGCATTCTCCTCACTCATTCCTACAACTCTAAAAATAGGACACTTTCAGCAATTTCCTCACCTACTTATATAAGTTATGCGTCAAAATTCTTGGTTTTCGGGGTTATTAGACTGAATATCTTTTTTTTCTTAATTCTTGTAATTTTCATTCTTTTAAAGAATATAATCATTTACCGCAGTGCGTAATAATAATATTTGAGAATTCTTTTCGAAATAACTTTAAAACTTTAAAGACAAAAGTTTTATAATTTCAAAACTATTATTTTAGATATGAAATATAGAATTCATAACAAAACAAAAATAATATTATGGATTATGGAATTTTATGAAATTTTTTTCAAACTAATAGTAATACGTATGACATATGTATAAGCATATATAGTATATTTATAATACAATATTTTTTTCATTTACTACTATTAATCTCTCTACAAACGATCTCTCCTTCCATATTAGAGAGGACAGGATGTCAGTAATCATTGTCGTCATTTATATTATATAGGATATATGGAAGGGCGGGGTACGGATAATATACGTTCAACACATTCAGAAGATATAAGATAGATATAAATCAAAGAATAAAAAAGAATCGCGGTGAAGATATCGAGATCGAGAGTGAGGTTTGCGGCCGAAGTCCCGATGACCTCGAAAGTAAGACAGCCTCGCGACCGGAGACTTCAGGATCGATATCCGCACCGCCATTCGTGGACACGTCCAACTTGATGCAGATGTCACTTGGCCAGTACCGCTTCTGTCTCTGCGGCAGAGCTCAATGAAAAACGAACTAATCGCAAACTAGTCGTTCAAGGTGAAAAAAACAACATAAACATTAAAGGAATCTCAAATTCAAAAAAATGATCCACCTCAAGCAACCATTACGAAGATGGCATACACGGTACGCTATACCGCGTAATCAAATGAACAGATCGGTAAAACTTACCCACCTCTTCACAGGATGCTCGAACGAGAAGCGAGTCCATCAACATTCCCAGCAGGAAGCTTTACCTCGATTGTCCTTGCACACAAGTTCGTAACAAAATTGGAAAAAAAATGAGATTCCTAAGAACAGTTAGCTATTTCACTGTCAATCTTTTAAATTTTCAAATTGGCGTTCGACGACACACTCTCACACACACAGTCACACACTGGACCACACACCGGAACTTTTCGTACCGAACTTCTTCACAGTCGACTTATCCAAAGTGTCGCGACGCACTCTACGAAACGCTCACCTGTTCTTTGAAAACACTTGATGAAACGGAAGCTGCCATACTACTGTGCATCAATCAATCAACTAGCGCCATCTCGTTGCTCATAATGTTACTGATTAAATGTTCGATAGTAGCGCCATTAGTTTTCAAATTCGCGCCATTTTTTAAATTTTATTTCATTATCGATCGAGCTTGCTCTCTCTTTTTCTCTCTCTCTTTCTCTCTTCTCAATAGAAATATTTATCCATTTTTTTAAATAAAATAAAATTTACCTGATAACGAATTTCCTTGAATTCATATTTAATTTTTATTTAAAAAAAATTCAAATTTAATTTAAATTTTAACTTGAAGTTTTTTATATATGTTAATTTAAAAAATATTATATTAAGATAAAATATTTACAATGTTAAAATTAGTTTTATCTTCAATTTTAATTACTATGAGTCACTTCATTTAAAATTTAAGTTTCAATATTGTTAATTGCGTTTTAAGTTTTTTACAAACATATGCTATTAATTTTTTTAAAGTGTTTTTATAATTTCTTTATAAATAGATTCTATGATATATATCATATATCAAAAAATTCGATAAATTATTTCAATTTAATGTAAATATAAACACGAATTATTTATATTATTAATTAATTTATTTATTTATAAAAATTCAAAAATCTTCGAAATGTTTTATATTATTATTATATTTATTATAGTGCAATGATAAAACAATTTTTATTTTGGAATTAATTCTAATCATCAATAAAAAAATTTAATTATCGGATCAATAAACAAAGCGCGTGAAATGTCCGCTGAAAAGCAAGCACGTAACGACTCTAGAAAAATCGAAACGGACGGCCATATTGAATATCGACCTTTGTTTGCACCAACTTCAAGCGGTAGTCGCATTTCTCTACTTTTTTGCGAGATTGTCGCTTCTCGTCCACTGTGTGTCTGATTCTCGATCTAAAGGAAAACAATAATTCGTTTTTTCGTGGAAAATTCGTTGCCGAGCGTGAACGGCGAAGAAGAAGCAGGAGCCACTTCTAGGTAAGACAATGATTATGTGTTTTTTCCTAAAAGTTTAACCATTACCACCTCGAAACTACGTCGCCGAGAAGAATAGTTGTAACATCGTGAAACAGGTTCCATTCGAAAATTTCTAGATTAATATGTTGCATGGTATTATTTTCTGTATATCATATTGTCGTTTCATTTATTTGCAATTAATATCTCTTTCATGCACCGTGACAACGCATTTCTCGATACTATCGACAACAATCGTATCGTGAATGTTACAGGCTTTTTGCAATCCTAGACGAAAGAAACTACTCGTGCCATTTACTATCGATAATGTCCATATCGTGGTCTACTGTTGTTAGTTAAAAGATAAGTACGCAACCGTCGAATCATTATCAGAAAAACATCATCGTGTGGAAATTCGCGAAAACCAGCCTGTGTTGCGGCTAGAAACATCAAGTCGCATCCTTAGCAACCAACGTAACGAGACTTTTTCGATTTTCCATCTTACAACGGTAATTTTTTCTGGAATGATATATTTTAGAAGTCGAAACATATATCTTTAGAGATTAATTTATATAAAGTTCTAAAATTTATCGTATCGTTTAATTTGAAACTTCCTGATTAATTTATCTTATTCCCATGTTTTTGTACGAATTGATATTTCATATTAATTTAATTATTATGTGTTTATAAAAATAATTAATATCATTTTTTCAATTTGCATAATATTTCTTAATATTAATGATTGACGATTATAAATGATTTTTCATTTGATTTTATAAATATTTTTATATATTATATAATATTAAACACAGATGAAAAAAATAAAATTAAATTTTTTATTTAATTTTAATTATTTTAAAATTTGTGAAATTATTTTTTAATATTATAAAATATTCTATATTTTGGAAATATTCAAATTTTATTAAGTTCTTTAAACTAAACTTTTATATCTTATTGTTTTATTATTAAATTTGCATGCATATGTACATAACTATACTATTTATAAAGATAGGACAAACACCTTAGTTTCTATATAATGTTTATTCTATATTATGCATTTGATCATATTAATATTATATTTTAATAACGCTATGTAGGTTTTATATATTATCAGTTATATCGTTATTACTCATTATTTATCATAGATTTTTCAGTGAATGTAGCAATCGATAAAAATAGATTTATACTACTTTTTCTCAAAATGCTAAATATTCAGTTTATAATATATTATAATACAATTGCAATCATTTTTCTTATCAATTGAAATTTCTCAAATTAAATTCTTCACAAAACATTTGTTATCATACAGTAAAAATTTTATAAAACAGATTGTCGAATCAAAAAAGAGATCGTCAAGTACAAATTATTTTCACTTGAATAGTTTTGTTTGTGTTCAATTTTTTTCAACGATATGAAATATCACTTGAAAAGACAACTGATTTAATTATCTATATATATTTTCATGCATCCTAAATTAATAATTCAATAATAATAATTAATCAATACTATAAATGGAATTGACTATTTTGTAACAACATTTTTCTTATTAAAATAATTATTTTAATCATTTTTAATCATTATATTTTAATCATCAGTTATATAGCTAGCCATTTGTAAATTAAATTTGATTGTATACTAAAAAAAAGTAGGAAAAAGAATAAAGATTATTTATTTATCCTTTTTTAATTTCTACAACTGGAACTTATTATATCATATTATTAATTATCAAGAAGTATGATACAATTATCATTGATTAGAAATCAAATTGAAAGTTGAAGTGGTGGAAGATTTTAAAAATATCAGAGGTCTATAGAAGATATGCAACTAAAATTAAACAGTGCTGGCTAAGGCTGTCCTAGACCCTTTTATCCGACATTTTCTAGCACCGACCTAGCGCAACGTGTTGCGTATGCATTGTTTTCCCAAAGACAAACGCCAAAGCTTAGAGAGCAAGGTCCATCTAATCCTTTGGTAAGGAGAAGCAAAATGACATATTTAATGGTCCCGGTTACGCAATATCATGCAACTGTGCATCGCTATCGAAGCTGCCAGTAATGTCTCGGTATATTTATATAGTATGTGAAGATAAATCGATGGATTAGAAATAGCCAGTGTATGGTAT